AGAGGGCCAACATTGTGCCCATCTTCAAGAAGGGGAAGAGGGAGGACCTGGGCAACTATAGGCCAATCAGCCTAACCTCCATCCCAGGGAAGATACTGGAAAAACTCATTAAAGAATTTGTGTGTGATACGCTTGTTGAGGGTAAGATTCTGAATGAGAGCTAGCATAGCTTTGTCATGGGTAGGTCTTATTTTACCAATCTCATCTCTTTCTACAAACAAGTCTCTCGCCACCTGGATACGGGAGAGAAGGTTGATGTTATAAACCTAGACTTCCAAAAGGCTTTTGATCTAGTATCCCATATCCTTGTGGAAAAATTGGAAGATTGTGGGCTTAACTGGTCAACAGCTGAGTGGGTGGAAAACTGGCTGCATGGTAGGACCCAGAGAGTTTTCATGAACAGACCTGTGTTGTCCTGGTGAGAAGTGGCCAGTGGTGTCCCACAGGGGTTCATGCTTAGACCAGTGCTTTTCAACATCTTTATCAATGATTTGGATGTGGGGGTGAAAAGCTCGCTGGCCAAGTTTGCAGACAACACCAAGTTATGGGGGAGCGTGGTCATGCCAGAAGATAGGTTGCAGATATAGGCGGACCTGGACAGGCTGGAGACTTGGGCAGACTAGAACCAGATGAAGTTCAACACTCAGAAGTGTAAGGTGCTCCATCTGGGGGCAAACAATCCACAACATACCTACAGGCTTGGTGGTGACAATTTGACTTGCACCATGGCTGAAAGGGACCTAGGAGTAGTGATCAACCATCTCGTGAACATAAGCCAGCAGTGCGATGCTGTGGCCAGCAGGGCAAACAACACACTGGCATGCATTAACCGTTGCATCTCATGCAAAACTAAGGAAGTAATGCTCCTACTGTACTCTGCACTGGTGAGACCGCAGTTGGAATACTGTGTCTAGTTCTGGGTGCCGCACTTCAACAAGGATGTGGAAAATCTTGAGAGGGTCCAGAGAAGAGTCACCCGTATAATCAAGGACTTGCAAGCCAGAGGAGGAGAGGCTGAGGGATTTGGGCCTCTTCAGCCTACAGAAGAGAAGGCTGAGAGGGGACTTGGTAGCGGCTTACCGCTACATCAGGGGAGTACATCAAGAACTTAGTGAACAGCCGTTCACCAGGGCACTCCTGGGGAAGACCAGGAGCAATGGATACAAACTCCTGGAAGAGCGCTTCGGGCTCAATTCCAGGAAAAACTCCTTCACAGGGTGTCCAGACTGTGGAATAAACTCCCTCCAGAGGTGGTGCAGTCACTTACCCTGGAAATCTTCAAAAGGAGACTCACTGGGGTCACTTTACCCCAGTTGTCTTTTCCTGTCTAGTGCAGGAGGACTGGACTTGATTTACAAAGTCCCTTCCAGCCCCTAACAATCTATGAATCTATAAAGTCTAGGCATCTAGCCATTACATCTTATACCAAGTGATATCAATTTTGATGCATCTCTGTCAGGGAACCTTGCCCTGCTGCAGCAATATTCACACCACCACAAAGCAAAAGAGATGATGAGAGTAATTAGGAGCTCCAAATGTCCTCCTTTGCACCTGTCGGGCCTTCTGATGCTCCCAAAACATTGGATACCCTTCAGCTTTTCTTGGCTTAACAAGGTGTAGGTGATTACTTAGTCATTCCATTTTGCAGAATTTTTAACAGTGAATGTATATAGGGGTGCCAAGCAAAATCTTTATTTTAGTCCTTTTGTAATCACGTTTTATTAATAGCAAGCACTCAGATGTTTTTCCTGTAGAAAAATAAACAGTAAATGAACATTAAATACAATATACTGTGGGTATTCTTCTTTATAGTAAGTATCAAAAATCATTCTTTTTTGTCTCTGACATGTAAAATATATGTAAGGAAATATGAATGACTGACCTATCTCATCAAAACAAGAAAATATGACTTGTGACTGATGATTTGTAACACATTGATATTTAATTGTCATTAGAGGGGAATTGGCCTTATGTTACTTACTGAAGTTTTAGTTACCTATAAACTATAGGTTTAAACAAAAGCAGAGCCATATTAAAGGGCCAGGTTCGAACTGTAGTTTTAGATTCAAACTTAGGTAGCACCAAAACTCTGGATCTAAACAGCCCTGGTTTCAAAATCAAAACACTGCTAATATTTTTGAGGAAAGAAACTAGTAGATGGGTTTGGGATTTTTTTTGACTCTTCTTGGAAAATGCGC